TAGATGACTTTGTTGTATATTACTTAGACAATATTTTAATCTATTTTAAAAATATAAAAAAACATAAATTTCCTATTCATTGTGTATTATAAAAACTAAAAGATGCAAGAATATATGCCAATAGTGTGAAAAGTGTATATTTCACACTGTTCAAGTCAACTTCTTAGAATACATCATTTTAAATGATAGACTTATGATAGATCAAAAAAATAAAAATCAAACTATTATAGATTGAAAGATCTCAAAACTAATAAGAAATATCAAATACTTTTTAGGATTTGCCAAATACTATCAGATATTTATTAATGATTTCTATCAAATTGCAGCTCTACTTACATGTTTGATTTATAAAGACAAATTTGAATGGAATCAATAAGAAGAAGCAATATATGAAACTTTAAAGATGAATTTTATTTCTGCACCAATCTTATATTGCATTGATTTTTTTTAGCCATTCTTCATGGAAATAAACACATTGGACTTTACTTTGAATGTTTTATTATTACAAATGGAAATAAATGATAAACTTCACTTAGTAATTTTTTATTTAAGAAACTTTTTAGTAGTTGAGATTAACTACAAGATACATAATAAAGAACTTCTTGCATTTATGGATTTATTTGAAGAATGATGCCATTATCTATAAGACACTTTTAATTTAATCTATGTTTATATGGACCATTAGAATCTTAAATATTTTATATCAACACTTGTTTTGAATTGTTGCTAAGCTTGTTGGAGCATATCTTTGTCAAGATTTGATTTTAAGATCACTTATTCATCTAAAAAATAATAAGTTTTATTAGATGTTTTTTTCACACATTCTTATCTTTCACCAAAAGAAGGTGACATATCTTTTGATCAACAAAGAATAATTATCTTGAAGCTGGCGCATTTTTATCTTCAAGTAATAAAATGAATATTGACTATTGATTCAAATTTTGTCAAATAAATTCAATCAAGTATGTGTTTTGATCCTTTTATTCATGATATTAAGAATTCTTCTTTTAAGTCTCATAATGCTTCCAAGTTTGAATTTAAAAACAACCTACTCTATTTTGAGAGACTCCTTTATATTCTAGAAAAAAAAGTACATATATGTATTATTCAAGCACATCATAACTTTCCAACAACTAAATATTTTAGATATAATAAGACTTTAGAGCCTATATTTAGAAATTTTTAATAGCTACAAATATAAAAGTTAATGAAAGATCTTTTTTTTAATCATGTAACATTTGTTGAAGGTCAAAAATTCCTTGTCATCGATCATATAGACTTTTTCAACCATTGCCTGTATTCAAACAATCATGGTCTTGTATTTCTAAGGATTTCATCATGGATCTTTTAATCTTAGGTTTTTATGATTTTATATTTGTGATAGTAGATTGTTTTACTAAGATAGCATATTTTGTATTATATACAAAATCTATCATATGTAAAAAAAAATAATGAAGTTTTTTTTGAAAACATCTTTTGCTATTATGAATTATTTAAGGATATTATATCAAATAAGAAGACTCAATTTGTATCAAGATTATAAAGATTTTTTTTTAAGATTCTAAAAATACATATAAAATTATCTTCGATCTTTTATCTTCAAATTGATGGATAGATGGAGCGTGTTAATCAAGATTTGGAGCAATACTTTAGGTGTACCATCTACCAATAATAAGATGATTTGACGACTTTATTTCTATTGATAAATTTTGCCTATAATAATATAATACACTCTTCTATTTAATTTTTTTTTTTTTTTTTTTTTTTTTTTACTAATTATGATTATAATCTATGATTTGATGCTTTTGACTTTTTAAAAGTTAATAATCTTGCAAACAATTCTTTTGCCAAATCTTTTGCCAAATTATTTGTCAAAGCTACATGATTTTATATTTGTGATAATTTGCCAAATCTTTTGCCAAATTGTTTATCAAAGCTACATGCAACAATAAAGATGCAATTAAAAAAAAACTCAAGAACAACAAAAGATAAACATACATGCCTATCGCAAAAAGCAACCACAATTCAATGTAGGTGATAGAATATAGTTATTTCATCATAATACCAAGACTACTTGCCTTTGTAACAAATTGAACTATTATAAGCTTAGATCTTTTCTTATTTGTGAACAAATCAATTCATTTGTTTATCAGTTAGACCTACTGGAATCAATAAAAATGTATTCCATATTTCACATGTCTCTTCTTGAACCATATAAGATAATGAATATACCAAGAAGAAAATAGGTACCACTTCTTTCTATAGAAATAGATAATAATGAAGAATTTAAGGTAGAAGATATATTAAATTCAAAGCGATACTAAAATAAGTTAGAATATCTTATTCATCAGCGGTAATATGATATTAGTGAATGTACATAGGAACCAATAAAGAATCTTATAAATATATCAAAAAAGATGGATGCTTTTTATTAACAACATCCATCAAAATATAAATGAAGAATAGAAAATCTTTGCTATAAAAGAAATAAGATTATGAGAAGATAATATTTTATCTTTTATCTTTATTTGTAGCTTCTCTATATATTGTGGCACTAAAAAGATAGAAAGCCCACATCCAATGGATTTAACTTAAGAGTTATTATTTGTTGACTTACCAAATGAGACATTATAATTATCTCAACCTTCAATTCAATGTAATCGAGATGAAGATCTTCAAGAATGACATGTTCTTTCTTGAATAAATGGCAAGATATAATATATTTGGTATCACGACCTTGGAAGATACTTCCAATATTTAGTGATTTTATTAAATGTAAGAACAATTCTTGATGGTATTCTAAATGTTTTATTTAAAGGAAGTTATAAAGGCCTCAATAACAATCAAATAACAAGGTGGTTTTAATGTGTTTATAGTTGACTTTTAGGTTAGAAACTTGGTCAACAAAATTAGCCACATGTCACATGTATAGGTAGCTTGTAGAACAAGCTAACAATATGGCACATACATAAAAAACATTTTTTGCAAGTTAAGATATGTGGCTTGCAAAGTCAACACATGTTGGAGGTTCTATAGAACGTCACAATGTAGCTCCCAGGTGGAAATTATATATAGGAGTAAGAGTGAATCCTTCTTCACTCTTGTCAACTCCTTTCTTGCTTTAGTCTAAATTCAAGAATCTTTAATTTTCTTATCTTTTGGCAATAGCCATTCCAATTTCTTTTTAATATATATGTTTTCTTACTTCTATTTTGTCATGCTTCTTTGAAAAAAGTCTCACTTGGTTATTTGCTTTTATTGAGTTCTTGTCCTTGACATAAGTTGGCTATGTAGTACACATATAGAAACTTGTCTTGCAAGTTAGACATGTATCTTGTAAACTAGATATATATTGAATGTCCTATAAAATATTGCTATGTAGCTTCTAATTAGATAATATAAATGGAAACAAGAGTAAAGTCTTCTTCACTCTTATCAAGACCATTTTGTTCTTAGTCTTGTTTTAAGAGTTTCTAGTTTTTTTTTTTTTTTTTTTTTTTTTTTTTTTGTCTTTAGCAATAATAATTCTAGTTTTAGTATTATATTATCTTTAAGTATTTTTTTTTAATGATGATACAAGAGTATTTTTTACTCTTTAATTATTTGTGATTCATATCCTTGACAAAGAGTCTCTATCTAAGAATTTTTTTATAAAAAAGTTGTTTAAATTATATATTTTTATTATTAAAAAAATAATTTAAATTATTTTAAAAAATAAAACCTAAAGAATGTAATTGATTAAATACTATTTATTGATTATAAAACACATTTAAATTTACTAATATTTTATTTTTTATTTTTTTTATATCTACTTAGTATGGAGATTTTTTTCACAATATGAATAAGCACATTATAAAAGTTATAGTTGAAATAGTGTTAGTATTTCAAAATTAAAAGTTATTTTCCTGTTTTTGCATCAATTTGAGACAAAATTATACATATACTAGTGAATTATCAATTATTTGGTTTTTTTGTTGTTTTATTATATCAAATATGCTAGATATCTAATTAGACTTATGAGACCAAAAGTGATACATGTTAAATCTCTAAAATATATTATCAAAATTAATAATATATATATATATATATATATATATGTCAAAATTTATATTCATTGTATACTGCTTATTTTTCATTTTCTGAGATTTGATTCTTCAAATGTTTAAGAAAGTTCTTTTTGATTTGTTGTACCTTTATGCCAATATAATTAATAACTCACATTAATATATATATATATATATATATATATATAATCTTGTTCTTTATTTTACTACATTTCTGTTGAATACATTTTTAGTCATGTATTTGTGAGGTTGTTTGATGTCAGTAGCATTTGATATTTGTTTATTTTTCTAAGTTTGAAGATACATGAATTCTTATATCCAATTGAAATTAAAATTATTAAAATTATGTGCATGAAATGTTATAAATGTAGAAGCATGCAAGATGTTTGTAAAATGACATGTGCAATTAGAACATGATATTCAGCCATTCAATTTCATTTGCATGTTCTTTGTGGAATGTTTTGTAGGCATTTATATTTTATTGATGTGGCAATGAATAAGGATGTAATAAATTAATTAGACATAATATTTCAGACTTGTTTTAGAAAAGGGTTCATCACCAGTTTTAAGTTATATAAAAAATCATAACTTCTCAAAGATCACATGACACATGAGCACCGTATGTTGTGAACATAACCTAACATAAAATAATTAGCAATGAATATAAAATCCACCCATGAAGTATTCTGGTAGTTTATCTGAAATGAAAGTTGGGAGAATTTTTTTCATAATTTTATTATTATTTAAAATACAAATGAAGGCAACAACCCTAAGACTACCTAAGACCCTTGTCTAGTTCTTCATATTATTCTATGACTCCCCCTTGTATAACTGTAGGCCACGAACTATACGAAAATACAAACTACCATATACTCACAGATACTCTACGAAACAGAGCACTGATGGAGAACCACTCGGCCCAGTGTGAACGGCGCTACCACCCGAAGCCCTAATTCTTGGAGCGGCTGCTTGAAAGTCCTGTGGGAATCGCGATGACGCTCTCTTTCAAGCGTGCGTCTGGTTGGGTCGAGAGACGCGCTCTGGCCCTCGTTGCTTCGTCTTGCTTCCCAGCGCGCAGCCATGAGTTTCCGGGTTAGTTGATCACTTGCCCATCTCATTCTGTATTCAGTTGCGGTTAATGAGTCCCTAGACGGTAGCGTGTTTGTTTCTTGTAGGGTTTGGGGCATCGAGCTTGCGCTGTGGTTCGTGAGCATCCCAGCGAAGCAGTCTTAGTCCGGTTTTGACGAGCTGGATGTGCCTTTTCGAGTGATTTGCTGTCCGACTAGGTTGCGTCAGGGATTTTGATGCTTGTCTGCTGTGTATGATTGTTTGATGTCACCGTAGTATGACCCATCATGCGGTAACTTGTTTTCATCATTTTCCGGTTCTGATCGCTCCAATTTCTTTTGGTATCAGTTTCATCAATACCAGGTGGTTGGGCGGGCCCTTCCTACCGCGACCAATGAGACACCTAAGGCTTACCGCATGAAGCTCTGGGCCACCAACGAAGTGCGCGCCAAGTCTAAGTTCTGGTATGGTGTTGTAGTTTAAGTTCGAAAAGAAACGACGCTCTCGCTTTGTGTAATTCCAGAGAATGCTTCGAAATTGGTGGATCTGTGCTTTAGATGATGATGTATCAGATCAGGATGTTTTGCGGAGCTGGCTGGTATTCTTTGCTGTGAATGTCGTTGGCTTGTGCTTTTATCAAGTACAGGTCATCTCTTCATTAGTGTTCTGGTTCACATCACCATATGTGTATCAGAAATATTTACTCAAGCTCGTACCATGTCCTCAATTTTCATGCTGTCTTGTGCAGGTATTTCCTCAGGAAGTTGCAGAAAGTCAAGAAGGCCCACGGTCAACTTCTCGCTATCAACGAGGTATGTCAACCTCACTCATTTTGTGATTTGAAGTCCTATCGTGTAGGCTCGAGTAGTAGAACACGCAGCAGAATTCTGAAATACAGAGGGAATGCGACCTGAATTCACTAATGGATCACATCAAAAATCGGTACTTTTTGTAGATCCCTCCATATAAGCTCATTGATATGTGCCATACTCTTCAGTTGTATGCTGATTTGAGAATCACACTCCGAATCGTCAATGCACTTCTAGGTTTTGATGCAATACCCAGTGTTGGGAGCCACTTTCGGGTCTTCAATTTCGAACCGTTCTCAGTGTATACGCTCTTGAAACCATCCCAATGTCGGGAAATTATAAGCAGAGACAATTGTCGTTGAATATGAATCTGACCAGACGTTCCTGCAGATTTTTGAGAAGTACCCTACCACTATCAAGAACTATGGTATCTGGGTGCGTTATCAGAGTCGGACCGGGTACCACAACATGTACAAGGAGTATCGTGACCTTACGTTGAATGGAGCAGTTGAGCAGATGTACGATGAGATGGCTTCTCGTCATAGGGTTCGCTTCCCATGCATCCAGATCATCAAAACTGCAACTATTCCAGTTTCTCTTTGCAAGCGTGTGAACACCAAGCAGTTCCATAACTCCAAAATCAAGTTCCCTCTGACCACCCGCAAGATCCGTCCACCAACCAGGAGCCTGAAGACCACATACAAGGCTTCCAGGCCCAACACATTTGTGTAGAAAAACAGTCGAGAAGGATCCTGTTCTACCTCGTGGCGACAGTTGCCATTTCATACGTGACGTGTTGGGGACAGTAAAAGCATTGAATCCTTCTATTTTTTTGAAGGATATATTTGAATTTAAGTGCAGTACGTTTTGCTTTTTTCTTGATTGAATGGACGTTTGCTGGTTGAGTTTACATGTTTGATGTTAGTTTTCTATCTTCATATCCCTTTGAACAATTTCCATTTCCCTGTCAAACTCGGTAGCGGCAGCTCGGGCCCCACTGGCCTAGAAGTATATTGTGAGACACTGCACTTGTGGTACAGTTTGCATACTACGATCAGAGAATAAATACTGGTAATGTGAAGTTTTATATATCAAATTATGTTACACTTACATGTCATTTGAATACATCGTACCTATAATTGGTACATTTCGATTGGCTACAAATTTTACAAGTCTCCTCGATAAATGTTCCGTATGCTTTTTAAGTATGTCTCAAATGTAGGAGGATTCTCTCTTCTAATCATGTTAGTTAAATAATTCCAATATCTGACAACCGTAGCTCTTTTTTCCAAGGAGTAAAATACAAACGTTCAGTCGGACAGATTGATCAGCGAACACGCTCCAGTTTCATGAGCTCTTGCAGCCATCACTTCTCTCGTTGCATACAGCGACGTTCCTATCGAGACGAAAAAAAGATGAGCATAGTGTCTGCTGCTGCGTGAACGTGCTATGCTTGGTTTTCGAAAGGTAGAGGATACCTGAAGTTTGTACTTGATCAATCTACTCACCTACAATCCTATCGCGATTGCGGCGAGTGTTTGTTTCTGTAGGATGAAACTTTCACTCGTTACTCCCACCCTGTTCAATCTGTATAACATCTTCAATGCGTCTTGGCTTAAAAGCTCCAGAGCCTGTGCAGAGAGGGTATCGCTCCATCCCTGCGACGACGTCTATTTGATGCTCGATGAATATGTTGGCCTGCTTCAGCCGAGCTGCTTCAAACGCGGCTTTCATAACTACCCTGCTGGTCTAGCTCATGTGCTTCCAAAAAAAATTTGCGAATGTCCCAAAGAACCTCAGTTACCCTCTTCATGCTGGGTCGCTTAGTCCTTTGAGGTGCTGTGCAAGCAAAGGCGAGGGTAACCAAGCGATGAAAGGCGCTCAATGATGCTGGTGTTTTCTTGATTTTACAGTCAAGCATGTCGACCAGTCTCCCTTCTGAAAATTTCTTCTGCGTCCATTGGGGAGTGAAGCGTTCAGCACCCATCCTCTTCATGTCAATCGGTCGCCTCCCAGTAAAAAATTCTATGAGCAAAACGCCGAAAGAATAAACATCACACTTCGGGTGCAGCTTATAAGTGTTTAAGTATTCCGGATCCAAATAACCTGCATTCGCCAAATCTCAGTCTTTTAATGCGTCTTTGCTCAAAAAAACCGCCGTCTTCCTTACCAGGGATTGGAGTGGAGATTTCAACACAAATGAAAGTTCAAACCTAATGTTCATGTGGAGGCCGGCGGGTATTATGTAACAGCAAATATGTGATATCAGAGGAGAAGCATCAGAAAAAAGTAGAAACATCTATCACAACATGGCTACGTAGCTTTCAATACCTGCAGTGCCCTTTACTGCAGTTGAGACATGGGTATCCCCAGCATCGGACGGTCCCAAGCGAGAGAATCCAAAATCCGCAACCTTGGCTCGATTCCTTTCTGTGAGGAGTATGTTTGACGACTTAATACCCCTGTGTATGATTGGCCGATCGGCATAAAGATGTAGATATGTAAGTGCGTGTCCGATGTCTATCGCAATTTCCAATCGAGTCCTCATGTCGAGTGGTCTCCCGTAGGTGCCATATAAGTGTTCACCAAGATTGCCGTTCGAAACATACTCCACGACTAGAATACATTCAGGTCCTTCTTCCAAATAGCCGATCAGTTTCACGAGGTTCAAATGATCCACCTACGATCATGAGATTGAAGTTAAAGCTTTTTGCAACAACTCGCATTCAATTTCAGGAGCTGCATAAACGAAAAATAACTTCACTGAGAATTTCCTGACCATCCTTCTTTCAGCAAGACCTCCCTAAAATGCAAAGTACTCGAAGAGAAATTCATTTTCACAATTTGCAGCTTGTGGTTGCTTATTAAAGGAAAACTATGGATCTTCTTTAGGTAATCTAGCAGTCGACATACAGTTCAGTTAGCATGTGGATTTAGAAAAATAAACCTGAGTCAACATTTCGACCTCCGTTCGAAACTCGGCCCCCAGCCGAGGTGCAAACTGATCCATCCTGCTGCGTTTGATGGCCACCATCCTCCCGTCCTTTAGTCTGCCTTTGTACACCAAACCGAAGCCCCCTTGCCCTATTTTATTTGATGGAGACCAGTTACAAGTTGCGGAAAGGATATCTTTCATTGTGAATTTCTCTGCAGCCGCAGCTGACTTCTGGTGGTCGTCGTTCACATTCGTAAACAATTGAAATGTATTTGCGTTGCGACGCTCAGATCCAGGCTGCGAAGATGTCGAATGTTGGTCAAAGACGACCTTGAACTGCTCCTGGCTCTCGTAATCACCCAATTCATCCTCCTTCGACCAAGGGAAATAGCAGGAAAAGCACCCCATTGTGATACTTCAGAGTTTCTAAAACCGACTGGATCACCCCGCAGCTGGAGCACAAAACGTCATTAACCACAGAAGTTCTGAAGATCCCGGAAGCCCGCACAAGGAAGTTAAATCACTGTACAAGGCACTTTCTAATAATCAAACCCGATCGTTGACGTCATTTCCAGAAGCCCATGTCCAACTGAAACCAGCATGAGGCTCTTATCCAGCAATGGCGGTGGTGGCATTAATGGCGCCTTTCTCGAATGCCACCTGAAAAACCAAATTCGCGCAAGCCTAGTCTCTTCCTCACTGTCGTGTCCAATTCCACGAGCCGCTCACAACAGAAGCCTCCCCCTTGAAGTTAAGTTGAAATTTGAGCGTGATGCTGACAACGTCCTGGAGGTGTAATCTTGAATCCTGTTCTTTGAAACGTAGAAGAAATATCTTGCTTATGGTTTCTCCAATAAACATTCTCGGAACTATGATTCAGAGACGGATCTATTTCTACGTTCAGGTCAGAAGTCTTTGTGTGCAATGCAATAATTTCCTGCGGTTCTAGTTCCTCGTACACAAAATCTGTAAAGAAACGACCTAAGAGAGTGAACAAAATGAATCGAAACTGGAAACAGCGTCACGACGCAGCTAACGTCCAGATGAGAATTCCTGGCATTATGTACACTTGCATCCAGCGATTCTGATGGTAAGAGTCTTTCACCACTTGCAGCGCCAGAGAAGGGCCTGCAGATATGCATCACAAAGGCAGTTGCTACAATTACATTGCAAATTGCTCTTACTCCCTTACTCCACGTGTCCTTCTCGAGGTTGTTAAATGAGAGCCGATTGGAGAGGCAGCCGTAGAAGAAGACAAATTAAGGTCAACCTGTTCAAAAATCAGTGAAATATATATATATATATATATATTTGGCATGGACGCCAACGACTAAACATACCGCCTTCGCTTCAAGTTCAGGGTCGGATACCTTGCTTAAAAAGTCAACTACTCGTGAGGGTCAGTCCAGCTTGTCTTCACTCAAAACGCGGAAATTCGAAATCTCTTTGCATTAGAATAAGTCACAAGGTGACTGGTGAGTTCCTCATGGATTCACCACCGGACTTACAACTACCCCGGAGTAGAGGATGCACCTGTTTGAACTCTTTCACTCTACAAAGGTTTGAAGGCTCTGCATGCGCGCCAAGAACTTCAAAAATCGTGCAGCGAGATATATGCCTCACAGTTTCGTAGTACGAAGTTGTCCTCTCGGTAGTTGTCACGATGCGCCGAAGTATCAGCGCGTGAGATGAACAATCTCTGTCTTTCTGCAGTATTGACCAAGTTTTAAATGCTAACATCACGAATTTGGGGAGTGAGGTGCAAGTAACCACTTCTGACGATGCCACCACGGGCGCTGCAACTAGGAATGGTTGTGATTGTAGCTAACAACAAGAAATCCGTGGAAATCGGATAGAACCTGGTGAAAATCGGTACGCTTCACCTCCACACCCGACTCTAATTGCAACTGACAAAATCTAATCATTGATTCTCATGCTACGATCCTCTCACTTCCACGTACCTCCCTTTTGCTGTCGCCCAACCTCATTGAGCGACTTATTCAATAATTTACTGACAGAGATCTTTCATCTTTGAAACTTACTAAAACTTACAACCTCGATTATGCTAGGACATAGGCTCAGCAGTTTAGAGTTAGGATGAACTCCGCGCTTTCCACCCTTCAGCGAGTCATCCCGCAAGAGATCACCCTAAGCTTCGGTCAAGAGTGGAAACTCAATCTTAAAATTGCTGGGAATGAATTGAGTCGAATGCTACACTAGTGTTCACAAGAATATTTCAATTCTATGTCCAACAGACATACGGAGAAAGGACCACGGTGGTAGTTTCTATGCAGCGGTCATCATGTCGTGCCGTCTTTATTGCTTCATAGCTCAACACTGATTATTCCAATCGTACTGAATCCCATTAAAGGTATTACTCGTAATCAGTCACTGATTAACCAAAACCACGACGTAAACGGCGAAGCTCTCGATCAATTGACCAACACCACCGGTGACAGCCCCTCGAAGAACTCGACGACAAATCCCACACACTTCCATTGTAAAAACCTGGCTCGGTCCACCAGATCAAAAATTCCGATTCCATCCTTAACAGCTCTGCTGATCGTAAGCTTCTGGAATCATACACGTGCCCTAAGATTAATCGGAAGCCGACCTTGGCCAGCGGCATTACCCTTAATGTGGTTGCTGTCGTAGCGCCAACTCGTCTCCTCTGGCATCAGCAAGCTACAGCCGCAGACTATTGTCACAGTTATTTTTACAATGCCTTATCATGCGTCTGCACCGTAAAGAAATTTCTTCCCTGTTGCCAGTCTGTGCCGACCTGTGGCTCCGACACTGATGACGGTAGCGTCGACGAGCATCGGTAGGGCCGGTCTGTCCCCTTGGTTGGTTTCTGCTCACTTTGGCCGCCGACAGATCACTCTTCTTCCCTAAAAGTAAAAGTAGTGACGGCTGTAACCGCGAAAGTAAATGTTGTCTGTATTTTTTTAAAGTAAAAAGGTGTGTTTTATAACCTGTTCTCCATATTCGAATCGCAAAACGTAAAGGTAAAAGTAACGCTTCCCTACTTGGTAGTTTAAATAGGAGGGGAATGTTCTCTTGCAACTTGGAGACCAAGTTGAATGTGTTACAGATACTTGAGTCATGTGATTGATTCAATTTTTGAAACTATTTCCAGGACTTATATTGGAGCATGCTGATTCTTTGGCATATGTTTGTCTTAGTAATTCATTAAAATAAAATAAAATAAAAATAAAAATGTCAGCTTAAAATATTTACGTGAAGTTGTTTTTCTAGCTTTTATTCTTTAGAGATTTGTTAGAATTGCTCTAAACTTTGAAATCATTTATAGGATCTCTCTGTTGCTTACATAAAAAAAAAAAAATATTAAATCAAAGTTGTCAGAAAGATTATAATACATCTTACATGTCTATTGTTATGTATTATTTTTATTATTTATTGTTACTGTTGCATGTGTGTATTATACATGGAAGTACACATCTTTATGATCCTTTTTTTGACATAATTATTTATTTTCTGATCAATTTACGTTGTGTACATAATGTATCTATATATATATATATATATATATTGAGAAATCAAGTTTTGTATTTTCATTCATTATTGAGTCTATTGCTTATTAATGAGTTTGAAAAAAAATTAATGATGAGATTACATGTCTTTATCATACATACATATATATATATATTTTCAAAACTGACCGCAGCTCAAATTGTACATGATAATCAACTAAGCTACAACTGTTTGTTTCAAAAAGTGGATCTGAATTATTTTAAATCCATTAAAAAAAAATTCAAACTTCATCCTTTGAAACATAATAAAATGATAATTTTAATAAATTGATAAATTCATACTACCTGAATTTAATGCAGTTGTATGGTAAAAAAAAAAAAAAAAAAAAAAAAAAAAAAAGGCAGAAAAGAAAAAAAAACACACACACACACACACCTTTTACATTGTGGTGGCCATAGTTGTACAAAGTTTTAGTTTAGAATAAAACAACTTAAAACATTATCATTTTTAAAGGTGACCTTGTTATCCTCATGAACTTGAACTAATTATTTTTTAAACTAGTAATAAAAATGTCTGTATGGACAAGGTTAAAGCAATTGCATATCTCTTAGTATTTTTTGGAGTAGTTTCAGGTTAATTGATATTTTTAAAAATTATATCAATATTAATTTTATTCTAAAAATATATGAATTAAATTTCAAAAATAAAAATCCTATCTATAAATCATTTCAAAATTTCAATATACAAATATTTTGATGTTCAATAGTGAAATCAAATAATAAAGAAGTAAAGATATTATAGCTTTTCTTATTCCAATAAATCAAACCACTATCTCTATGCTTTTCAACCTTGCCTAAAGATCAGATGTAGCAAACACAAAAAATACCTCAGAAAACATCTAACTTGCTTTTATGTACGTTTTTACAAACTTAAGGATTGGTAGACCACCTTGGTCCAATATTAATTTACTTGCATTGTCTTTACTTGAACTAGTTATTTTATACAAGATGTATATACTATAAATTTTATTCTAAACTTAATTTTAAATGCTTTAACAAATTCTACAAACATGCATTCATACATGACAGATTGTGGCCACACTCTTTTCTAAAAAATTATGGCCACAATTTGATCTCTAAAACAATATGCAAATATTTTTGTTGCAAAAAATTATATTACATATGCTTAAATTATAAATAAGTAAAATATATATTTTATGAAAAATAAAGTAATTTTAATAAATTAAAAATCACATCTAAATTGTTGTTATTAAATGAATATTTGTAATAAATTTAATGTATATGCTTCTTACTATGTAATTTTTTATTTCATATTTTTATGTTAGTGTCATATAATCATAATAATATTTATTTCAATTTTTTTTTATTAAATTTATCTACTAAATATTAAGTATATATTTTTTTCTTGTATTTTTTTAATTTTTTTGATTCTTTAGGATATAGTTGTAATTTCAATTTTTTTTTTTTAGAATTTAAAATATAACAACAAAGTTATTATCAAGAACAAGAATACAAAGAGTATAAATAAAAAAGTAAGAAATTTTTCAAAGAAAGATGATAATAAATATATATATATATATATATATATATATATATATAGATATTTATTTATTTAAGAAAGAATTAGAATAGCTATTTTCAAAGATTAAGAACTACAGACTCTTAAAACTAAACTAGAAGCAAAAAAAGAGTTAAAAATAGTAAAAAAGAATTTACTCTTGCTTCTATATATATTATCTAACTAGGAGCTATATGATGATGTTCTATAAAACATCCATCACATAGCCAACTTCCAATACATGTATCTAACCTGTAAGATAAATTTCCTATATGTACACCACATAGCTAACTTTCAATATATGTATCTAATTTATAAGATAAAGTTCCTATATATATGCCACATGACCAACTTGTATTATAAGTTGCCAAATTGTATAATATATGGCCAATTTGTTGGCCAAATTTTAACCTACCAATTATCTATAAATTATCAAAGATAAGAATAAGATGAAAGTAAATAAATAAGTGAGACTTTTTCAAAGAAGTATGATAAAATAAAAATAAAGAAGTATATATATTAAAAAGAAATTAGAATGGCTATTGCCAAAAGATAAGAAAACTAGAGACTCTTGAAACTAAACTAAAAGCAAGAAAGAAATTGATAAGAGTGAAGAAGACTTCAATGTTGCTTGTATATATACTATCTATTTAAGAGCTATGTGGCGACATTCTATAGGACCTCCAAAACATATTGATTTTGCACAATACATATCTTAACTTATAAGACAAGTTTTTTATATGGGCACCACATAATTAGCTTGTTCTATAAGCTATCAACATGAAAAATCCATGACTAATTTTTTGACCAAATTTTTAATCTATCAATCAACTATAAATACATGTAAAATCAAAGCAACATCTATAAAGCTTTTAGGAAGCTTTTCTAGAAGATATTATGAAATTAATCTACTTTTACTTACTTCTATCTATTTATATCATCTAAGTAATAATTACAGTAAATATGTGTCCGTGACATTATCTCTCCTTCTAGGGATGACTTCTACAAGGAGTGGTGATCACATATTGAAGAAATCTAAGATATGAAAAATTATATTTGTGACATATTATGATCTTTATTTCTTTCAAAGATTGTGATAATTACAATGTCTCATTTGATAAGTCAATAAATGATGGCTCTTAAGTTAAATTTGTTGGCTGTTGATTCTCTATCTTCTTAATTCTATAATTATATAGAAACTACAAACAAAAGATATGAAGTAGAATGTAATCTTTTTAAAATTATGTTTCTTTTATAAAAAATATTTACTATCTTTCATCTTGGTTTTGATGGATGTTGTTAATAAAAAGCTTTGATCTTTTCTATTACATTTGTAAGTTTTTTTTGGCTCTCATTTATGTTTGTTAATATTAAATCTGTACCAATGAATAAGATATTTCAACTTAAGTCGATGCCGCCTCAAGTCTAAGATTTTTTCCACTTCAAATTTTTTATTATAATTTGCTTATATAGGAGGCGGTGTTGTAATACATATTATCTTATTTAGAAATGCATTGGGCACCTCATTGTAAAAAAATAAATTTATGTTTTACAAATATCCAAGAAATTATAATAGATTTCATCCATATAAGAAGAATGTAATTCAAATTATATTTCAAAATTACTTAAAGCTAATACAAAGTTCTCAAAAACACTCTTTTTAGTAACTTCAACTACATATAAATTCCAATTACCTTATTACTTTCATAATTAGGTAATTTTCATTTCTCCTTGCAAGACCTCATTCTAATTAGTGAGCTTTGGCAAGTTGTAACTCCTAATCTGACTATCTACTTAGTGCAAAATTTTGCATACAAATGCCACTATAAGCTTTCTATATATTAAAAAAAATTCAATCCAATTCAACTTATAAATTGTAAAAAAAAGCCCAAAAATTGCATTGATGTCACTTGGATGCTAATTTGAAAGTTGATGCAAATATTCTAGTAGCAATTTTTTCTTCTTCAACCATTAACTTTAATTCAAAATCATTCTATAGCTTGATATTTAAGTCTTCTAACACGATGCCATATTTCATCTTAATTCAATTAATAGATCTTCAAATATCATAGAAATGCTATCCAATCTCAAACTACCAACTTCTAATATCCTTTTATACTAAAATCCAAATATCTTTCAATTGCACTATTAGAGTAATACAAAATTTTACACACACTTAGTATACCTAATCAACCAAGTATTAGCAAATTTTGAACTATAGATGTGATACCAATTTTACAAACTAGCCAAGAGTGCTAATGTCACGGCCATAATCATGTAAGCTAATAATTACATATAAAAATAGGTAGAAGTAAGTAAAAGTAGATAAAAGTAAGTTAATTGTATAATATTTAATATAGAAGCTTCCTAGAAACTTTCTAGACGTTGCTTTGACTTCATAGGTGTCTTTAATTGACTTTTTGGATTAGAAACAAGGTCAACAAGTTGGCCATGTGCCACACATGTTGTTAGCTTGAAGATCAAGCTAACTATGTGGCCCACACATAGAAAAACTTGTCTTGTAAGTGAAGGCATGTGTCCTACAAAGTCAACACATATTGGAGGTCCTATAGAACGTCGCCACGTAGCCCCTAGTTAGATAGTATATATAGAGACAAGAGTGAAGGCTTCTTCACTCTTGTCAACTCCTTTCTTGCTTCTAGTCTAGGTTCAAGAGTCTTTAGTTTCTTGTCTTGTGACAATAGCCATTCCAGTTTCTTTTTAATATACCTACTTGTTTATATTTTGACTTATTA